GAAAAACCTGTCTCCATGGGGCTGCCTTTCGGTGGTCTCCGGTCCCTGGGCTCCCTGCCCTGCGCAGGACTTTCCAGGTTGATCTGTCGTGTGGAAAGATGCAGAGTCCGGCCATGGTGGGAGGAAAAAGGCCCTGGAGGTTTTACAGGAACTGGGTGAAGAAAATCCCAGGTTGAGAGCATCATAGTTCAGATCTTAGTGGGCGACGCAGCAGGAGGGAGCGTGTGACGCTTGCCGGGCTGCGCCGCAAGGAGCGGAGGAGGAGGAGGAGGCTCGTAGGCAGGGGCAAAGAGCTGTCTCTCACCCATCCGTAACCACCTTTTCCCTTACAGGGTGGGTTTGCACGATGCTATGAAATGACAGACCTCTCCAGCAACAAAACCTATGCCGTGAAGGTCATTCCTCACAGCCGGGTGGCTAAACCCCACCAGCGGGAGAAGGTGGGTGCTGTGGGACTGGTGGGGTGCTGGGCTGGTGGGGCGCAGCGGGGACCCTGTGCTGACCCAGGACCACTGCTCCCTTTCAGATCACCAATGAGATTGAGCTGCACCGGGACTTGCACCACAAGCACATTGTCAAGTTCTCCCACTACTTCGAGGATGCAGAGAGTATCTACATCTTCCTGGAGCACTGCAGTAGGAAGGTGAGCACTGGTGTGGCCTCCCTACTAAAGGATCTCCTGAAGAGAGCAGGGGCTGGTTGAAGCAGGCCTTATCTGAGGTGCTTTGTTAGCACACTCCTTCTCCTGGGCTGCCTTGCTGCCTGCTCTGTCACACCCTCTGAGCTCAGCTGTAACTCGTGTGGTTTCACGTGGCACTGGGGATACCACTGGTTGCCTGTCCTACTTGGGCTGCTTGCTCATGTTGGCAACCCTTAGCTCTGGTGGGGCCATCGTAAATCCAGTGGTTCCCCTGGCTGTGCTGAGCAACCTCAGCCTTGTGTGGGGAGTCTGCTGAGGTCATGGCTGTGGAAGAAGGATTATTTGGGGATGTGCAACTTCTGGAAGAACTGGCTTTGACCCTGCCTGCCCCTTGCCTAGTCAGCAGGGCTGCCTGTTCTCCCTGCCTGCCATCACCAAGCTGCCTTCTCTCCCTCTGCAGTCCCTGGCCCACATCTGGAAGGCCCGCCATACTCTGCTGGAGCCTGAAGTGCGCTATTACCTCAAACAGATCATCTCAGGCTTGAAATACCTTCACCTCAAGGGCATCCTGCACAGAGACCTCAAGCTCGGTGAGTGCTGCGGTTGGGGCAGGGTGCTGTGTGGGGAGCGAGCTGCCCCAGAGGGATTTGTGATGACGCATCGTCCCTGACTTGCAGGCAATTTCTTCATCAATGAAAATATGGAGCTGAAAGTCGGGGACTTTGGTCTAGCTGCTTGCCAGGATATCTCTGACCAGAAGAAAAAGTAAGTCTGAGGTTTCCCTGTACCAGAGCCCTCTGAGGTTTCACTCTTCCTCCTGCGGCTTCCCAGGAGGGTAGAGGGGTGAGTGGTCCCTCCTGGCCTGGGGAGGGGAAGCCTTTGGGTGCCTTCCTGGGGTGGGGTAGTGATTCCTGCCCCAGCTGCAGGCAAGGCAAGGGGGCTGGGGGCTTTGTGGCTCCTTCAGGAGCTCGCTCGCAGCCGTCGGGGAGAACAATGTGCTGACTATCGCTATTGTGCCTGCCCGGCTGCCCTGCCGGCTGCACAGGCTGGGACACAAAGGCTCTGTTCCTCCCCGGCTCTAGGACAAGCCCTTCCCAATGGCTCCCCAGGAGCAGCTGCTCCTGCTCCCTGGGAGCTGGAGAGGGGGGAGTCTGTATGGGGCTTCTTGTAGATGGAGGGGGGCTTTGGTCCACAAAGAGTAAAGTGGAGGGGGGAGGACAGGCTGCAAGCTAAATCCCAGGGCTTGGAGGGAGGGAGGTGGTCTGTGAGGGGGTGGAGAGCGTGCCCTGACCTGGTGCTCTGCCCCACAGGACAATATGTGGGACCCCCAACTACCTGGCCCCAGAAGTGCTGCTGAGGCAGGGCCATGGGCCAGAGTCAGACGTGTGGTCTCTGGGCTGTGTCATGTAAGTCTGCGCTGCTGGGCGGGGAGGGGTCCTGCAGCCCTGCCTGCACGGGGTCGGGGAGAGCCCCGATGAGGAAGTCCTCTTGCACTTTGCT